GTAATAACCGGTGATAATTATCATAACCGCTGGCATATACTACACCATTCAACCTGTACGTGTGTTTGCAATGGAGACGCTGACATTTTATCACCGTCTAGAGTTTCTAACGTGACGTCAGATTCTTGGGCTATCAATAAAAAATTATTTAGCTATGCAAGCTATGCTATCGCGAATTAATCGCTGATCGTAATTTTCTTTTGAGCTTATTGTTCGCCGATATCATGCACGTTTATTGATTAGAATCGCAAATGGATTTTGAATGAGAGGCATTATTTAATTAATGTTGAAAGAACATGAATAACATTATAGAGTGCTCTGGTGTTAGGCTAGTCCTGAGTGGATCACAATCGCGCTCACCGCGACAAGACGAATGACAGAATGGACGTGTAATTCCTATTTGGAAAGCAAAGTATGCCTCTTCGAGGACGCGTGTTCGCATCGTGCTGCAATCGGACACGCTCGCGTACGCCCAACGGAATGTGTTGGATTAAAGGCGTGGACGATCGCAAAAAAAAATGTCAGACTGGAAGAACATTCGCGGATATGCAACACCAATACCTCTCCGTGTTTAAAATTCAAATTGAGACTTGAATTACGATAGTCGCTCTACAATATCAAAAATCGTTATTATTATTAGCAGGAACTACCGTTGTTACGAAAGGAAAAAGGTTTGATCGATACCAATGCAATTTAATTGCCTTCTGTCAATCGCATTGCGTATGCCTACGCAACATGTAAACAGCGAAATAGCTTTATCGGTAGAGAGAACGCGAATCATCGATTTAAATATCATACATGCAACCTACATGAAACCTGTAGTGGAAATAAAAGAATTTCCGAGCAGTTATTTAAACAATATTTTATGTATGTAGACATAAGAAAGGAAATATCATTACATTCCTTCGAGATAACTCTGTTGTAAACAGATATTCACATGATACATTATTTTCTTGGCATTCTTTGTCTTTCTTCAATACAAAAAAATAATTTTATCATATCTGTAATCATTTCTAAAGTATTTTTCAAAGTATTTTAGAATAAATTTACGGAGAAAAGATAAAAATTTTCAAAAAGACTGTCCTATCGAAGAATAAATTCATTAAATTCCTAAAAACTATTTTTAAGCTTGCCATACATAACCAGTATTATTTTTATATTATCTTTTTACTTTTACCCGAATTAACCTTTTTTTGCTCCAAGAATATTTCCTCATAATTTCATATTTGTACTCTCTTGACATTATTTCTACACGGATCAGTCAAGTTGTCTGGATTGATCCGCTGTGTTACTCGAAAGTAGTACCGAGACATCGAGATTAGCTGGATCTCTTTCGAATCAGGTTGGTTTCTCGCTCTCCTGGACCCGTCGGCGATTTGGGACTCGAGGGGAGGAGCTGACCACCTGCGCTTGCTTCACTTCGGGGCAAAGTAATTCTACCTGGCTTAAATCCCGCCGTGGAACCGTCAGGTTATCTTTGAGAGATCGAACAAAGACTCCTCCAGATGGAACTCGTGGGTCCTCTATATTTAGGCTTCCGCCTCTTAAATTCACGCGTAAACGCGTGTGTTTGTTCACTTTACGTTCGATCTTCTCTCTAGATACATTCCACAAACGACTGTGCCACGGTCCGTCGATCCTCATCTTTTCTTAAGAAAATTCTCCGATCCAACAAAGAGGCGCCCATACGGCATTGAAGAGGACGAAAATTTTCGTGGGGACCGTGGACCGTTTTCTGAATATCTTCTTTCAGTTGATCTCAATGTGGAACATATCTCGAATTGGCCGAAAACGATGAGAAATCATCCTGCTGGCGCGGGACGTCAAGCGCAAACATAATTCGCTTAATTCATCGAAGATCAGATTCGATTGACTGATCGAGAATTAGAATGACATTCTAGAGATGAAGGAAATCTTTTAATCCCGGCCTTCACTCACAATCGCAATTCGGCTTAAAAAATATTATCATGATGCGAGTATAATATCGACAGGCTCTCATGATCCGCACGTAGCTCGGCGGATCGCTCATGTTGCCGAGTGAAATAAAGAGGCATCGAGTAAGATAACTCCATTGTCATCAGGTGACGAGAAACATCTCGAGTGACTGTTGCGTAGCGCGTCGATTGTGTGCGCGTATGTTGAAAATTCTTCGAGAAATACAATTAACTAGTAATAACACTGGTGACAACACTAACAATAACATTAATAACATTAACTAGTAGCGATTTTTTCCGAAATGCACACCCGAGATAAGATTGCCAAGCTGCGTCGTGCGGTGTTGTTTCGATTTCGATTGAGATTCTGGTATCGTCTAGTGATTTTCTCGGAACTGGTCTGCGTCTTTCTGACGTGTGAAAATAATTGCCCGATTTCAGCATTTACAAGTCGCCGCGACATTTCCACCGCATACCGATGCATTTCTTACATAGGGAGTTAGTTACGCGTCACTGATAACTATTCCACGTGCTCTTTGCATTTGCATCTCGAAGCCGAAGTCCGCGCCAGGAAATTGTTTACACGGAAGAACGACGCGATTCTCACAATAACTTGCGTAAATCCCGCTCCGATGAATGCACGGTCCATTTTTGCCGAGGCGGATCGGCTGCGGAGACTAAATGCGACGCGGCGCAAATAATTCTGCTCGATAAAAAACCTGAACCATAACAATTGAACAACGCAATATTGTTTCTTCGCTCTCTCGCTTCTTAATTAATAAACATTTCTACATTGTCATTGTTTTTTTTACTAACGACATATTCTTATAAATGTGTCAAATCTTACGTTTATTGTAAAGAAATGATTTTAAAACGCGCGAATAACAATGAAAATCACGATTGATAAAAACGCTCAGTTAAAAAATCGATCTTCGTACTTAACCCCTCGATAAAGAATACGTGACTGATAAAGACACATATTGATTGAACACACGTAGCGCGAACGTGCAGCTTGATCGTTATATGTATAACAAAGAGTACGTAAGCTAAAGCTTTAGCGCTTTATTAGTTATATTTAAAAATCTATCATGAGTTATTTAAAAGAATCGAGTCTTTTTGATTGTCTTCCCGTTTAGATTGTACGCGATAACATTTTATTTCAGCCGATCGACTTTCGAGACAATAATCTCCCTTCACATCGGTTACGAAGTTGTTCGGCCCACGTTTACAGCCAAATACGTTCACAACCGGTGCAAACAGGTTTCCTCGTTGTTTGTGTAACACTCAGACAAGAGTCATTATTTACAAATAATATCATAAGACCATTATAATAACATTATTGTAATAAAATAATTTCTGTAACAGTTATTGCGATTCTTTTTAATAAACTGACGCTCAATACATAATGTAATTACAGCAGTATATACCGGTTAGCCTCGGCGTTGATGCTGCATGAAAATGAGATAATAAAACACGTCGCGAAAAAAAAAACAATGTGTGACGTCTTTTTGTCCGATGACGTATTTCCCACGTAAAATATACTTCCTTGTGTCTCTCTGATGATTACGATAATATTGCGTAACAACAATCGCGCGACACTGTCGTGTGTTTAGTAATTCTCGCTACGACTTATAAGGGATATTTCTCGTCTTTTTAACGATTTCTGTTTCCGCCATCTAATAATCATCTAATGACCATCCAGAACGCCCTGTGTTCATTTTCATCCCCGTTTGTCGACAGTCCATAACTATCGCATATGTGCCAGAAGTCGTGCCAGTCTGCAAACCGTCACGGTTATCTAACGTCAACGTCTGTAGGTGGGGCAATAACGTTGTACAGTAACGCGAACAGCGTTGCACCGAATGCAAGCACATTCGTTAAAATCTTCGACGCGACAAAAGCGGAGCAAAGAGTTTGAATTATCGTGACGCGATCATTTCTGATTATCGTCGAGGTAAAGATACTTGTTTGCGTGGAAATGCAATAGAATCTCGATTATTCAAACGCTATTTGAACGGAAGTTTTAAAGTTGTTCATAAGTCAAAAAGTTTTGAAATATAAATTGCATTTTTTGTATATAAGAATTGCGAGACTTCGCATTTGCAGCGATAAAGTAACGTGGAACCGTTTTAATACATCTTATTTTTGCGCCTGCAAAGTGATTTCAAAATAGCACATCCGGTTTGAACGGAAGAAACCTTAGTGCAACGATTGAAGGTATTCCGGAAGAAGGTTGCTCTTGTTTCTTTGGAAACCGCAAGAGTTTCCGCTCTTGCACTTGATTGCACCAACACGAACGTGACGTTCCGACGTACCTAACACCCGATCTCTTGAAAACTTTGATATAGATTCTTGGTATTACGCTATATAGGAGTGACAAAGCGTTGTAGCGTTATTAAATCAGTGTGCATAAAAAAAATCAAACAATCAATATACAAAATGGTAGACATAAATTCCGTTTTACTAATGTTTAATAAATTAAAATTCATACTTATTAATCTCTTGTAAATTGACCGTTTTTGATATTTTAGCAAATACGTTTCGGAAAGTCAAATAGAACAATGTTTGCTTTGTGGAGTAAATTGGTCAGCAGACGTTATTTGAGAACGGACGTGAAAAAGTCTCACGTTACACAGAGCATCTCAGATTCATTTTCAGTGGTGCAATTTTAAAGATTTCAACGAGCGTACTAAGAAAGAATGCCGTTTAATTATTCTTTTAAGAAGCGAAAGATAATAAGCTAACGATTCTCAGAAGTTTTAATTTCAAAACATATAAAAAGGAAAATTAGAATTGCATTGAATTAATTACTTACCTTAATTAATTAGTTGTACAAAAATATAAATTATAATATAATAAATTTAATTTGTTTATTTTATATTTTTTACTAAACTTTTACGTATAAGGCAAAATTAGAACGCAATTGTAGTTGAGAAATTATAATAAAAATTTCTAATGAAGTGAAAGTCTATTATGAGCACGAATATCTTTGCTAATGCGCCTGAACTACCGGCAGGCATCGTACATAAGGCATCCTTGTCTTATCCAATAACCGATTATTTTCAGAATAAACCATAACATGGGGATCTCGGCAGCTTGGCTGCTGACCATCTTCTTGGTGGTCGCTGCCATTACAACCGACGCATCACCTTCTTCGACATCCCGCACTACGGAAGTCGTTCGTACCAACGGAGTAAATGCAACGACCGTCGAAGCCGCGAAAACGACACCGAAGGACAGCTTTATAGATTACGCTAGACCCTTCACAAATATGAAGGACATACTGATGCAAGAGATCCAGACTTTGGACAAAGACACTTTAGACAAAGACGATGCTAAGGTAAGTGCAGATTTTTTTGTTACATAGAGTACATTGCGTTCCATGATATCTTTAATCTTTTAACGAAATAAGTACGGTTACCTTTTTATATAACGGATAGTTTTAATCGCAAATTTATGAAGCTATACGTAATAATACTTGTTAAATATTGACGGATAATAATTTTCTATTGCTCGCATCATCGCAACACATAAAGGATAAATAATACGTCTGAAAAGAGAATTCTTTTATCAAACATAATTTAAAAGGTCGAACTTTAGAATACAGTTTGCTTCAATTTGATTTTTGCCATATTTAATTAAGTAAGTTACACTTACTTACTTTAATTACGATATAAAAATTATTTAGATCCAGGAAGAGGTAGCGAAGACTTTCAAGGCCGAAGCGCAGAGGGACATGATGAACTTGCGAATAAAGCCGACTTTTAAACCGAAGATAACTGTAAAATCAAATTCGCTTCTGGGTGAAGATGAGGAATTAAAGAAACTCGACCCTATACCTTACGAGGATGATAATAGCGACGAGGATAGCGACGACGACGACGAATTCAGCGACGAGGAGTACGAGGATGAGGATTTGCTCCCGGGGGTGGATGATGATGAAGAAGTTATGACGGAGTGCCCTGATTATTGCAAATGCGCCGGGCAATACGCGGCTGCGACAACTGCAACGTATGTTTCTAATCGGATCTTTATGTAACTGAATAATGTCCCTTGGTGTTGACGGCAGATAAAGAACTCGTAGAGGCCTTCGCTTTCTATTTAGAGCGTAATAATATGTACAGTTTTGACACATTAATGAAAACTTAATAAGAATTAGATAAATATTCCATTCTTGGTTATAGAATTTCGTCATTATGCGTAAAGCTCAAGGAAATATGCAAACGCGATTAAACAAGATAATTAAAAAATTACGTAAAATGTCATAATTATATATAAATAACTTAATTGTTTCAATGTCTTTTTTTACGTTACGATTTGCTTTGTAAGTTCTTCAAAATTAGTATCTAATTTCAGTTATAAAAGTAAAGTCATTAGACGATCTCCTGCAGAATGATAAAATCTAAATCGATTATAAAATGGGATTATAATACAACTTGTCTTAATATTCGTGATAACAATCGTGCATAACTAAACAGTATGAGAATGCGACTTTTCCATTAATCTTCTCTTCATTATTTTTTTACTTACTACCCGTAGATGCACCAAATTGACGAACGAGCAGTCCTTTGGGTCAAGTATCGCTCATCTGCGCATCGAGAACGCCGGCGAGATACAATTGGGACCGAACGCCCTGCGGGCTCGGGGCCTTCAGCAATTGGAGTCCATCACCATCGTCGACACGCGCATAGTCGAGCTAGATCGCACAGCCTTCAATGGCATCACGTACCTGTTTGCCGTGAACTTGACACGCAACGGTCTGCAGGACATCCATCCGAACACCTTCCAGAACAACACGCAGCTCAGCCTGCTCACGATCTCCGGTAATCCGCTTAAGCACATGCACGACTCAAGGCCGACGAAGCACTATTTGCTGCACGCACCCTCGGTCACCGATCTCGACTTCTCGAACAACGGCATATTACGGTTGAAACGCACCGCCTTCTCCAAGATGCACAGCCTCAATTTCATCAATCTACGCGGCAACCGGCTGAGAGAGATCGACAGCACGATCTTCGACTCGCTGGACCAGCTCATGGAAGTGGACCTCTCAGATAATATACTGAATGAAATCCCCATTGACCTGTTCATTAACAAAGATGTGCAAATTCTTCGTGTCGCTGGTAAGAACGATGAAACATGTGTATCACGTCACGATATTATTTATTAATAATTAAGCGAGAGGATTCATTAATTAAAATCCGATTTAAATTTTAATAATAAAATTATAAAAATCGTAAATGCTTGATTAAATTTAACAGAGATAATACAAACTTAATTGATTAACTGCTTAATGCCTCATACTGATAAGTAAACTAAAATTTAATTATTTCACACTTATTTTAGAAACTAATTAATAAAGAAAGAATTATTTTGTATTTTCTAGGAAATAATCTATCAACGTTGGCCACCATAAGTTCTTCGAAACTGACGATGCTCGACGTCTCCAGAAACAAGATCAGGATAATCGGCAAGGAGGATCTGGAAGGCGTACCATTATTGGACCAATTATATGCCAAATCGAACAATTTGAAAAGAATCCACCAGCACGCTTTTAGCAAGCTCGAACAATTACAATATCTGGATATCAGCGATAACAGGCTCTCCTTGTTAACCGAGCACCATTTCAAATCCAATCCGAGACTGCAGGTTCTGCTGATGAACGACAATCCCGCTTTGCAGGTTCTGCCAGTTTTCAAAACCTACGACCTGGAGCACAATACATTCAGGTGAATATGTGTCACTTTGCCGCTTTATTTTAAAATACCAAATAAATTAGTACTTACGTATTAAGTAATTGTCGTTATTTAACAGCACCATCCGTTTCGAGTGCGCAAATTGTGGTCTGGACAGCATCAAGGTAGGCACGTTCGACGAAATGCCAGCGTTGACTCGGCTGAAGCTCGCGAAGAATCGCCTGACCGGCCTGCCCGATGGGCTCCTGGATAATCTTTCGTCTCTTCGAGAATTGGATCTGTCCGACAATATCATCACTACTCTCACGCCTAACATGTTCCGCGGCGCCGTATCTTTGAGTAAAGTGAACCTTGGCCGCAATCCTTTGAGAACACTGCAAGTGACGCCGTTCCTGAGCATTCCAGGACTTCTCAAGCTGGATGTGAGCCGGTGCAACCTCGAGCGCGTCTGGAGCGAAGCTAGAGTGCCGTTGAAGAGTCTTCGGTGAGAGAAATTTACGGAAATTTATTTATTAATAATTAAGCGAGAGAGAATTTGTTATTTAAAACACAATTTATATTCTAATAATATTCATACAGATTTACAGATGCAGAATTGTAGAAAAGTAAATGAACTAAAATTATTGAAATCGCATTATGATCTCTATTATCATATTTGAAGAAAATTCAGAATTTTCTTCTAATAATATTTGAAGTCTTTGCAAAATCTTTTTAATTACAAACAAAATTATTCTGTGACATCAAGATATTTATTGAATAGTGTATTACGACGTTAAGATATTCGTTAACCAGGGTATCTCACATTTTCATTTCCGTTTAGGTTCCTGTCGGTTCGCGGTAATCTTCTGCGGCGAATCACCGTCGAGGAACTTAAGGCCACGCCAAATCTCGCCAGTCTGGATTTGTCGCACAATCCCCTGGATTGTGACTCCGAGTTCACCGAAGCTGTGCAATGGCTCACCGATCATGGCGTCGCACCGACAGAAGTACTTGAGTGAGTATACTCAAGTTCAGAGACCAGCTAAATATGTCATGTCAGGACTTTTCTCAATCTCTCATGTTGTTTTTACAGACTTTCCAGTGATAAGTTCGATGATATTGAAGATATTGATAACATGGATTTGATGGACGTCGGTCAGTGGACGGACTTGGCGAAGATAGTTTGCGATGGAATCGACGATGGTCCACCATCCAGATCGTTTCCTGGCAAAGGCACACGCCCGAAAGACATTCTTCTGGATGTCGATGTTATAGAAGATGCCGATCCTCTGTTGAAAAACGAGCTCGATAACGATGAGGTAAGACGGCAATGAAATAATGTTCTTCGAAATATGTCTTAGTATTTCTTTTACATACTTTAATTGTTTAATAACTTTTAATATTGTAATTTATATAATTTTCAATTCGTGTAATATCATCAGTATCATCACATATTTATCGATCTTCTAAATTGTAATGATAACGTGTGATAACGCCGGTTGCGTTTCTCACAGAAGCTGAACATCGATCACGGCATGCCGCATATCGACGAGCCGCGGCTCATGGAGAATCAAGAATACGATGAGGACTTCGCGATCACCACGGAATATCACACTTGGTACAACTTGAGACCCGGCTTCAAGGTCTGGCTGGTTTCCGGTACCGTCCTGTCCGTTCTGGTAGTCTTCCTGTTGGTGGCGCGCATCGCCTGCTGCTTGGCGAACAAACGTGGACGGGGTCCCGTGATCAGGCCGCCCCTGATTCTCCGTCAGGGTCTGGTCGACAACAAGAACTGCGGTTTGGTGTACAAACCCCTGCAGGAGGAAATAGCCACGCCTCACATGCCGAAACGAGGTAGCTTCTACTCGAGCAGCACCTTCCATTACGACAAAATCGTACCAGAGAGTGTGTAAGAGAAACTTGTTTCCTGATTAATTAAGTGACCAATTACGGGGCGACTGGATGTGATTGGTTGTGAACGGCGGGCTGTCGAAGATCATTTCGCGCCGTTCTCTGCGAATCAAGAGAAGAAGTTCTTCAGACTGTTATTGGGTGAACGACGAAGCCGATGAGGATAATTAGGTAGACTCCTTCGACCAATATAAATATATGCTCAATATATATGCGATTTTATCAGCAAATTGGCAGATAATTGTTTCTATTGAAAGAGTATAACTATGAGCATTTAATTCGACCTTCTAGAAACGCGTAATACGATTGATCGAAAAACGTGTTTCTTCTAGGCTTTGTCGTGTTCTCAAAGTTTATACAAAACACGTGATTAAGAAGCGTTTATTGTTATTATTAACTCGAAGATGCCTGATAGAATTAAAATATGGATAGTTACAGTATCTTATTTAGATCCATAAATCGCGCAGTACTGTATTACAATCATACATAATCATGTATTTTTTTTTATAAATAATAAAAATTTACATTATTTTTTAGAAAAGATAGAGTTACAGAAGATTATAACAATGTACTTATTATTTATAAATCTAATGCTTGTAACAGCTCTACTCGGTTAAGCAAGGAGTTTCAAAGCGTAATTCAAGGAACAGCAGTACTGCCCAGAAGCATATTTAATCAAATGATGCATATATAATCATTTTACATAAGGATGTAACTTAATAATAATAATAATACTTGGAGAAAATTGGGCAAACGCATGTTTATTGATGGCCGGTGATGGACGAATGAGAGAATTACATGTGACAAATGTAAAATTTTATATGAAACGGAACGAGAGAGTTTCCTGTAGGATGCCCAGTCATAGTAATATATGCCAACATTATCGTAAAACAATTTTTTAATTATGGTGACAATATTCTTACTCAGCGAGAATTCGAAAACTTACGTCGAAAATATTTTGTACGTACGTTATGTCGCTACGCACGCACAGGCTCTTATTATTATGCTATTATATATATATATATATATGCTGTAAATAATAAATATTGTTTTAATAAAATTTAAATTAGAATCAAATTGTAATTTATTTCCCACGATTCTAAACGAACCAAAACGATTCTAAAACACATGGCGCAAGCGGATTCGAGATATCTCTAAAATTAACAAAGATACGTAATTTGTTTATTACAATTCATTGTAACTTTTAAATTATTCCACTACAAACGAAATTATTGTTACTACAAACAACTGCAAAGAAAATGTTACAATTTCCTGTAGTTAAAAATTTATTTTGCGAGTGCCAACTTCACGGACCTGTTCTGAGCCGTCAAACGATCAAGCGGGATATACGAAGTACGAAATATAGCAGCGCAAGGAGGACGCATAGCACTATTATCAGTACCACGAGTTGCACGGTCTTGCGAAGCCAGTATAATCTGTAAACAGATAAGTAAATCAAGATTCGAAAAGTAAGACGCGTAACCTTCTTCCATAATAAAATAGATAAAATAAATAGAGAAAATTGGTTAATTATTGTTTTAAGTCAATCGCATCGTTTCTGAGAACATTCACATAAATATTTATAGTAAAATAATATGAAATAGATGATAGTAATAAAGAAACAAATAGTGCGTGTATTCAACATTAACATAGTCATTTAAAATAATTGTTTAAATAAATAAGATAAAAAAAAAAAGAAATCATATAGAGAGAAAGAGATAAATTCTATAATATAAGTTATTCTCTAAATTCTAAAAATATAAATATAAATTCTATGGTGAAAACATTGACAAATGTTGCAAATGATTGAAGAATCTTTCTTTAATACTGATTCTGATTTCCGAACAGACACCAGGAAAGAGTTCTACAAAGAACTACCACGCTGTAACAAAACAATTGCTGAAAAACAAAAAATATGTCTTACTTTGTGATGCGTGAACGAGCAGCTGGCAGTGTGTCCGGACTCTCTTTCAGGAGAAACTGTCGTATTCCCAAAATGTAATGTTCCAAGTACGATGGCCAGTCGATTTGCTTAACGTCGAACGTGAATGTTTCTCGATCCTCCGGACTGAGTTGCTCATCCAGTCGTCGCACGTTGTCGTCTCTAAAATTCCATTGTTTCGTTCTGAAGTAATCGAAACTCTTGGTGGCTTTGGAAAGTTTCGTCTGCAGGCGGACCATTATAGGCTGCGAGCACTTGAGCCGTGCGAAAGTGTCTACGATATACGCCGGTAGCGTGTGCTGAAGTGTCACGCACAATTTGTTTATCCTTGCGGAGCTATGGCAACGAACGTTCGGATACCAGAGCACATTGTCCATCGGATGTAGCCGGCAATACGTAGAGATCGACAGATCGATGAACCGCTTCCAAGTTATAGGATTTTGCTGGCCGGTGCAACAGTTGTAGATCGGGATGGTGTCGGTGCGTTGCGTGGCGATCCTCCATGCCGCGCAAATCATTAGGTTGATCACAATGTCGACGGGCACCAGATCCACCACATTGTTCTCGTCGCATAGCATAGTTCTGCAAGCAAGAGATCGCGATTTGTAAGAGAGATTTATTTGCACGGGAATAATGACTTGCAAAGATTGTGAGCGATACTAAAATAACACAATACCGAGAGACGTCAGTATTCATTCTAATTCTATTATAATACCGATACTATATAGCAATCGCTAATTATGACCGCCCGTTGTCACCTGAGGAAACCTTTCCCAGCGGCGATGATAAACCCCGTGGGGCCGTTGCGATTGCCCACCCAACCAGCGACCGGTTCTTTGTACGACGACAGCACGATCGATGGCCTGACAATCGCCACCGGTAAAGAACCCCTTTCCTGCTGGAGCATTCGCTCGGTCAGTGCTTTGGTAAATGTATACGTGTTTGGTCGACTGGCTATCAGATTTGGCGTGAGTTCCTTAAACATTTTGTCGTCCATCCATTCCGTTAGAGCGATCACCTGATCAGGTTCCGGTTCCACCGAATAAATCTCCTCGACGACATCGGTCCGATCGCAATTACAATATGCCGTTGACACGTGAATAAATGCCTGCGATTAAACATTTGCATTTATCGCATATTTTGCAGCTATAAATTGTTAAAAATAAGGAATGCGTACGTCCATTCTTTTGCCTCGTGTTAATCGAATATGCGATTGTAATGACGGTAATGCGTAAAAACATGTCAACGAAAAAAATTCTAAGTATACCTCAAAAAAGAAGAACAAAGAAAAGATACTTTAAAGAAAAATAAATATCACTGTTTAATGATCAATTGCGCGTAGAGCCATCAAGTTGTACAAGTTCTCTGCTCCTTGATTGTCACACAAAAAAAATCGTAAAATTTATCAGAGACAATTATCTGCGAATCGCGTGAGAATATTTTCGCACTTTATTATTTCGCGATATAAAATGCGTGTGCATAAAATGACAATAAAATGTTCATTTACTTGTTACAAAGTATTTTTTTAAACTTCCGTGTAATATCACTTGACACTTTTTTTCCCCCTTACACTGTACGTTTTATTCGCGCTAATCCGTGACTAATTTATGGCTGTCGTGAACAAACAAACAAATGAAATTGTTAAACGATAGACGGTGAGTGATTTACGATAAAATTGCGCGATACAATTAGAGTGCAGAGTACAAATACACTCGTATATAAGCCGGCTCTATAGAGATGAGGTAGAGATGTAAACCCTCCGTAGACAAAAGACACTGTAACCTTTCGTAAAGAGCACATTCGTAAAAAAAATGAGATTACTACAGACAATTTGTCTTTGATTTACTTGAATTCGATTTACGGCTGCAAATCAATCCGGCTCGTCGCGGCGGTTTGACAGTTTAAATTGAGCAATTCGAAAAGAAAGAATCCCACTCTTACCTCCACATTGTGCATGCGGTTGCATAATTGGACCAATCTTTTGGTGCCCAACATATTTATTGTGACCGAAATCTTCAAAGCCTCGTCGAATTTTACGGTAGCCGCTGAATGAAAGACGATCGATACAGATCTTATTAACGTGTTTTGATCGTCGATTGAGATGCCCAGCTCCGGTTCCGTAATATCGCCAGCCACGGGTATGATCTTGGTAAGCTCGCCAGGTGAATCCCGCCGTAGTTTCTCAAAAAGCTGCCAAAAGTAACATAACTTTAAATTTTTTGAAATAGCGATAGAAATAGCAGAAGAAAAGTGATATTATTACCGGCTCGTTTAAAAGTTCCTGCAACCTCTCTTGTACATTCTGGCCCTTTTTAGGTCTCATTAAAAGGTAAATGTTTTTAATGTCCGGACACGATCTCAATAGCTTCTCGACAAGAACCTTGCCCACGCAACCTGTAGCTCCGGTTATGAAAATTGATTTGTTTCTGTAAAAATCCTTTACAGAGTATACAGATGTATACTCACTGCCAGCCATCGTGGCAATATCAATTATTACGCGTCCTTTAAAAAAATATCAGGGATTAGAAATAAAAGATAAAAGTACTTAATAATATATAGTTATTCATCATTAATTTATCTAATTATTGTGGCGAGTATCCTACCTGAATTATTTCGTTAAATCCTTCAATATTACTTTCAGGCAGAAAGTACTTTACACCTCTGTTTCCGCGATAAGAGTCGCCCACGTTTCTACATTTTTTACATAAAATCACGAATATTAGATTTGGCATTAAAAATTTAGTGCAATTGTTACCTTTTATTTTTTTAAAGATAAAATGTATTTAAAGGCTATAATGAGGAATAATACCAATATACGTGCATTAATCGATGTTACAACAAATTCATATTATATCTAATTTTATTGAAATATTAACGTTTCGTACCGTACTCGGACTTCATCAGAATTGTCAATAATAAGCAAATAATTAAGTACTAACATATATAGGGGTCAAAACGTAATCGATTATACATAGAAACATACCGCAATCACAAAGTAAAAAGAAAGATAGTTAGAAACTAAAAAGATAGAACGCTTTCTTCTGAAGTCTGTCATCCTCCATTAAATTTCCGTTTTTTTTTTTATATATCATCGTCCCGTGGAAACCAATGTAAGTCAATAATTTTGGAAAGTACATTTCTGAACCATCTTAGTGGCAACTGGATAAATATACTTAAATTAGATAATTCTAGATAAGATAGATAGATAAAGATAGATAAATTAAATAACATTCATTCACTAAAAATATATGAAAGAAGACTTACATAAGTGGTCAGAGATAACGAGAACCATGACAGACAATTATTCTGTGATATCGATATAACACATCTAATCTATGCGAAGACACATCACGAACTGAGAGAGAAATGAACTTGACACGAGGACAATGATTGTTTGCAATTAACTAGCGGTGGAAAGGTCGTTTAAAACATCAAAATAAACTTTGTCCAATAATTCGGTGTTTTTGTTAGAATTAATTCCGTTTGTTTGTTCTTTAATGTGTATCATTTCAGAGGTCATTCGTTTTTGATAATTCTGTTCGTGATCTAAGTTACGTGTGTTATCCCAATCAAAAGTGTGATTATACTTTAAAATATGATCGAAACGTTAATATTTAAATAAAATTAGATATAACATGAATTTGTTGTAACATCGATTAATGCTCGTATATTGGTCTTATTCCTCATAGCCTTTGCTTCAAACGAGCGGAAAATAAGTTTCTTAATGTATTTAAAATCTGATGTACAAATAAAATAACATATTAAAATATCACAATAAAAATCTGATTTTACAAATACTCGCTATTTAACAAATATTCGCGCAAATCTCGTACACTGCTCAAAAAAATTAAAAGATCAGTTTCCCGTAAATTTTTGCCGATTTTTAAACTGTAATCACTCAGCGAATAATTAACGTAAAAAGAAGTTCAAAAAAAAGATTTTACAAGGCAAACTCTCTACTATAATATAAGGTGCTTCTGTTCAATTTTTACTCAGGTTAATACTCAGTTATTGTTGTCAGCTTTGAATAAGGACGTATTTGAGATATCCAAAATCTTGAAATTTGCACTATTCCATCGCTTAACAAAAAAATTGACTAACATAATCATTGATACCATCTCAAAGTACGGACTTTGCCCTTTTAAATAAAAAAAAAACCTAATCCTATGCCGATTGACTGTCCGGCGTAAAAGCTTTGTGTCGGTGTTCTGTGTTTTTCAATGTCCATGTTTTATTCAATGTTTATATATGAAGTTATTATAGAAATTAAGAAATAAATACCACTCAATTTCCTAATTTTCTAGATCGAATGTCCGTTTGACTCGACGTTGCTTCGAAGACTGACTGTTATAAAAGGAAGCTTGTCTTATATATATGGAGGAGTAAAAACCACAGTGGTGTAAGTCAAATTTTGCAGTCAAAGATGCAATTTATATATTGTACAGATTGCATCTATGTACATAAAAAGTATTTTTAAAAATTTGACTTACATGTAATTATATGTAATTGTTTGAAAAGGATGGATACTTTCTTTCCTGATTTTTAAACCTGAGTAAGTGTAATATTGTAGTTAACAAAATTAAATAATAATTGTGTTGCGGCCCCAATTAATTATTAAGAAATATTTAAGTATTATTTAAAGAGATGTATTTAAAGATTATTATTGTATTACAGATATATTATTGTAAGAATGTATTAAATTACGATATTAAGAAACGCGATCGTGAATGCAAAAGCCGACCCTGTATATCATCTCCGATAGAAAACGACTAAAAACGGATATATCTGTATCGTTTTTAATCGTATCTTATCGGTTCTATCGTTGCATATTTAGAAGACAGATAAGTTTGGAGAGGTGGAAATAACAAAGATATAAATAGAGTTTTGAAGGTTGGTGTATCCAGTAAAGTCTAAAATTTATAATTTTATCATTTAATAAAAATTAAAATAGAATTAAGATAAAATTAACCGAATATTAAAAGACATTTGTCAAGTCCACTCTACAATATCGTAAGAGTATGCTGTAAGATGTAAGACATAAGAAGTAAAAATTGACCAACCACGGTCGATTATTCTTGAATTGCAAAAATCCCATTAGTCAATAGCTTACTGTTTACGTTTTACTGCATACTCTTATGGTTATTATGTTAACGAGTCTATACCGTTTATGTTTAATACGACTGATTTCTAAAATACTGTCATCTTCGTTGAGTATAAAAAAGCGTATGCCTTTATAATAATCAACAAAATAATTCATCCAGTTAAATTTCTTCATGTAAAATTTAGTTATACAGACTGGGCTCCGTATAATGAGTATGTGAATCGATCCAATAATAAAGTATTTGACATCATTAAAGTACTGTCAACTAAAGGAGCAATTAATTATGTTTATAAGGTTCGTGCAGAAATACTGTTAAAATTCAAGATAACTTAAAGGCAATATTGTGAATTGTGAGTCGAATATTGGCAATATTATTGACGAAATATTTCATGATGAACCTTCCATTACCATGACTCAAATTTGCAATGTTTGTAAGAATTCAAAAACAAGGATTAAATCAGTATTCGAAGTTGATTTGATCCCATTGTATAAAAAGGGTTTAAAAGGACTTCAATAATCGCTAAACAATTATTGTCAACATAAATTGCAAACTTGTAGTACATGTAATGAAAAATAAAAACATTTGTTTTTGATCACGGATCTCATTTATTTCTCGACTTTGAAGCATTACAATGGACTAGTCTTGCCAAAAGATTAGGATATTCAAGTAACTATGAACGTAAATTTTCTTTAGAAGACTTACCAGGTGATTTGTACTTTAGTGACCATATTCATAAATTAGTTGGGACCATTGAACATATTCCAGCAATGAGTGAGAGTGCTGTATCCCACTATCAAGCATTAATTTTAAGAAATCGAAACAAATTAGGTTCATGGGAACTTCATGACGGCAAAACCACGCAAACTTAATAAACGAGAAAAAAAACAAAAAAGATGTGTACCTTTTTTATATAAAGTCTGACAAAACTCATGCTAGTGTTTAAATCTAATTCGAGCATAACATTAACAAAAAAAATTATTACTAGCAAAGTTCTTTTTTTATCCATTTTACTATATAAAAATATTTTAATTTTTACGTTAAAAAAATAAATGATAAAATTAAACAATTTATCTAATAACTGCGTTACCTCATAAAAATACACATTAATGTAGAATAATTAATTTTTTTGTTATATATTATTATTTGCTAAATATTATATTCATATGTGTGTGATATATACATATGTACATACATATATACATATGTATACATTAATATTATATTTTCATTAATTATTTTTATGTGCGGGTTATTACCTCGAATACGGTACGAATTAATATATTTAATTTTTGATCGTACTGTATGTTATATGTATGATAAATCTATGTACGAAAAGTACTAGAAAGTAATTATATTTCAATTCAATTCAATTCAGTCTTTATTTCACTCCCTTTCCGGGGTTGGAAAGGCGTTTTTTTAGTAAAAACGTTTCCAAAAACCTTTACATTCTGCCATACACAATACTTCGGACACTTATACATCATGGCACATACAACAAGGTGAACATATGGCGTTTTACAGGGACGTACCCAACCCTTCACATCATCTCAATTCTTCTTCTGGTCCTCGTCCTCGTCCGTAGTATCCATCAGCAGCTTCTTCTCCATTTTCTTCGCGATCTCCTCGTCCGTATTCCTTTTTGGTCTCTCGGGATATGTGGGGGCCGGCTACCGGGATATGTGGGGGTCATTTTAAACGATCAAGCGGGATATGCGAAGTATGAAATATATGAGCGACAGGAAGACGGATAGGACTATTATAATTCCCATGAGTTGCGCGGCCTTGTGAAGCCAGTATAATCTGTAAACAGATAAGTAAATTAGGATTCGAAAAGTAAGACGCGTAACCTTCTTCCATAATAAAATAGATAGAATAAATAGAGAAAATTGGTTAATTATCGTTTTAAGTCAATCGTATCATTTCTGAGAACATTCACATAAATATTTATAGTAAAATAATATGAATAGATGATAGTAATAAAGAAACAAAAAGAGCGTGTATTCAACATTAACATAGTTATTTAAAATAATTGTTTAAATAAATAGGATAAAAACGAAAAAAAAATCACATAGAAAGAAAGAGATAAAATCTATAAGTTCTCTAAATTCTAGAAATGTACATATAAATTCTATGGTAAAAACATTGACAAATGTTGCAAATGATTAAAAAGACTTACCTCGATAATCGATTTTGGGCGTTTTTTAACGTATCTGGATTGTCCTTCAAGATATATTTTCGGATTCCTAACATGTGCTGACGCAAGTACATGTCCCAATTCAAGTTTGTAATATCTACATCAAATTTATCACAATCTTCGGACGCTCTTACAAATTTCATCAATTTCGTCATGTTACCCGAATGAAATCTCCACTGGTTCATCGCGAAGAACTCCCCGGCTTTGGCGGCGCGATCGAACCGTTTGGCCACCTTCAACATCCTGAAAGGAAACGACGCGCGTTATATTTATCGTTATAAATAAAATTGCCACGCAGTGAAACCTAGGGGAGATACTTACATGGGTTTGTGACCTTGAGCCCTCAGTATAAGATCTACGATAAATGCAGGGAAAAAGTGCAACGTGAGCACTATGATAGCGTGAATAAATTTGTTTGTCCTAAATGTGAAACCTGGATACCACATCACGTATTTCGATGGATATTCTATAGCGTGTTTCCTCACGAGGTTTCCAAATTTGTCCCATCTACAAGAATCATACATGCATACGTATACAAGATAATAACACTATTCAACAAAAATAAAAATGCACAAAAATAAAAGTGATTATACGTCTTATAGCTTTTTGGACGTTAAATACGTTGCCGTTTGCCAAATTGTTCTATCGTCACAATTTTGAGAAATTTGTGATTGTCATATTAGGAAATTTGTGTCATATTAGGATTTTCAGTCCTTAAAAAAAACTTGCTGTGTCGATTTAAAACAATTTGTGAATAAAATAGAATCTGTTGCATCAAAGTTGCGATTTGCATACGCCATTAAAAAGTCTACTAAATGTTTTTAAATTAAATTATTAAAATTTAAAGTTGATTAATTATAAATAGCGGAATCAAAATTTTAAAATATTCGAGTTTTCATTACAATTTAAGTAGAGGATTAAAATTTTTAATGCATTTTAAATTGAATTTATTAACTTTGACATATCAGATTAGTATTTAGCAACCTGAAAAACTATTAAATTGCGCGGGTGTTCGCACACATGCATTTATTTAAATGTTTTGTTATGTCTATTGCTGCATATACTCACGTAATCGGATTTAATGTACTGCTGGTACAATTGTAGATCTTTATCGTGTTAGTACGTTGCATGGCATTGTGCCAAGATGCGCAGATCAATGTATTGACAACAAAATCGACAGGTACAACGTCTATCAATAATTTTGCGTTACA